ATTGTCAATGTACTTGACAGACCTGTAGGTGGCAGTGTTGATAGAACCACTGTTAGTCTTAATGTGAAATGTAAATTATTGTGAATTAAACCTGAAGTTGAGCCTGTGTTGGAGTTTAATTCATGGTTTATGGTTATGTTTAAAACAATCTTATGTATAATTTATATTGGCTGGTAATTGTATATGACATGTGAAGACAGTTTTGCTGTTGACCAGTAGGGGTCAGAAATGCTGATTGTATGGTAAAATACCCTTTAACTCCTGAAGGATACATGACATGTGTGACATATCATTTATTCCAGAGTTTGGTCCTTAAGGGGTTAATCCAAATGCAAGGTTAACGTGAGATTTTGAGAGTGACCTGTAGGGGTCAGTGTGGTTTATGTGAAACATTGTTTTTGAGCTATGCCCCAGCATTATAGTTGTGAAACAAACAGTGCCCGTTTGACAATATACAATAAGTGAACATAATAGCTTAATAACAATCATTGTAACAAACCAAAGTTCTGTTCACGGGTTGTAAACACACGAAACGTGTGTGTAGTACAATAGTAAATGCATGAACTAGTACCCGTTTGGTAGAAAATTGCACGAATCGTGAGCCTGGTATGCCAGGGAAACAAAACGAAACGAGCAGTGAGATTCGAAATGCACGCACAGAATTGCCTAGTATGTTTAGGCAATTGAAACAGAATGTGTTCCCTTTTGGGAGTATGCTAATGCTTGAAATGAGCCAGTGACAGATATAAACAAGTGAGTTTAAACGAATGATATGCATGAACATGCAATGGTTTTAGGACAGATTTAGACCAAATGCAGCCGTAAAGTGAGGACCTGACCCGTGCATGGTGCCGTGGGACTGATGCCTGGCATAACGGGTAGGTCGACTTACGGTTTGTGAGTCACTTGGACACCATCCACAGCGATAGATTGAAGAAAGAAGGTGGTAGGCCGGAAAAGCCTGTGGCTGGATTCCTGACACAGCTCTGCTTAGAAAACCTCATGGAGTAATCAGGTAAAATGGCGTCTGGATGACCCGAAAGTGGAAATCATTCTGATGCTGACCTCAAGCAATATGAGTCAGGTAAAGGGTGTCCCTTAATTAATTTAAGCCCCTCCCACAAATACAGGCAAAACGGCCTTAATACATATATATATATATATATATATATATATGTGTGTCAGTGTGTGTGTGTGTGTATGCCTGTATGTATGCATATATCTATTAGTGTTTATGTCTGTATGTATATATCTATCTGTATGTGTGTGCATGTCAGTATGTATGTCTGTATATATCTATGTGTGTGTATGCCTGTGTGTGTGTGTGTGTGTGTGTGTGTGTGTATATATATATATATATATATATATATATATATATATATATATATATATATATATATATATATATATATACACACACACACACACACACACATATATACCACAGGTGCCTCATCCCAGGGCCCTATTTAGCCTTGTACTGCAGAGAGCCCCAGATGGAATTTCTTTCCCCAAGTAGGTTAATCTCATAAGCGCAGACATTAGGCTGTTAGTGTAGGACCTGCCAAAGATGGGGTACATTGACATTGTGGCAGGCTTATGCACTGTATGATCATATAATGTAACTAAACCCCCATTATTTTTGCCTAGATTAGGTGTTTTAAAAAAAAACAAATAAAATCTTTCAACATTGAAGTTGCTGTTTAGTGGATAGGTGAGTGCGCTGGATCTTGTGTAAAATATATATATATATATATATATATATATATATACACACACATATACACACACATATTGTCAGGGTATTTATATCGGCAGACATTTTGTGCTATGATAGAAACTAAAAGTGTATATTCTGAGTCACTCTGAACAGATCAGACTCCATTTTGTTATTTTCAAATTAACAAAGAAGACACTAGATTTCTTTCTTTAAGACTGGCCTCTTTGCCAGAGCTAAGGAATGCATAGCATAGTATAAACAAGTGATAAGAATATAATCAAATCTAAACCCAGACAATTGTGACAGAGAAGATTAAATAATTTAACTGTCTATATATATATATATATATATATGGTACCATTGTATGGAAAAGGGTAAACTTAGTTCATGATCTGTCATATCAGAAATTATAGCAGATTTGCAGACACATAGTCTGGACAAAATTTAAGAACCCCTTTGATCTTTGAAGGATATGTAAGTTATAGCCACTATCTAGATAGGCCAAAATAGCCACCAGGAAAAGTTAACTCTTTCCTGGATAGGTATGTTTAGTGGGACAAGACTGCCCTCTATAGACCAAATAACTAATTTGCGATCTGGAAGATAACCACACCTCTAGTGCTTCTATTGGGTTATCAACTGATGACGTACAGAGAGTCTGGCCCTTTAAAAGTTAAGACAAAGGGAAGACAGAGAGAGAGATCCAAGAGATATGCAAAGAAAAAGACGAGATAGGAGGCAGATGCAGGACATATGCAAAGGAGAGGAGAGAGGAATTGGAAGTTTGGGGACTCCAACTCGGACAACATCTGAGACTAACACTCTACTCGTAAAACTCTAACACTTAGAATTTACTGACTTTCTAACCAACACCTCCATGCAGAGAGAGACATCCAAATAAGTTCCTGAGACTACCAATCGGATGAAATATCTACTCAACTGGTAATTATACTGGTTTCATTTAATTAAATTAATTAAAATGTATTAATAGCATTATATATGACTGGATAAAGCGCGGTCAGATTTCCATATTAAGAAATCTTAGTTAACTAAGAATATATAGTTATAAACATTCCATTCTGCAGGTGGAATTAAGAATAATTATATATTGATGTGATATTATCGCGTGTTAGCATACCGCTGTTTTTATCCAGGTGTATTGATTTGCTCTAAATTAAGATAGATATCTTTTAGACAAATTAAAAATCTGCTTATATAATATATTAGATTCTCTTATTGGATGGTTTAAGAAAATGACTAGTGAACTGGTTTAAATGTTATTTTATTTAAAAATTACATAAGAATAGATCTTGACTACCTAGGAGATCTAGCCAGCATTGAAAGGGTTATTCTAACTGTCTGCTAAACTTTACGACCTTACGCTGCACTCTGAGGAATTCTGTTCTTCGCTGTGAAAAGTTTCACTTAAGTCTGTGTTAAGGATACCTCATAAATCGTCAGAATTCTTGACAGAAAATGCCGTTTAGCCATTGAAACGTAATACCCATTTCTTTGTATTGCATATCATTTTATACTGAATATTCATTGATTATTGTCATGCATGTTACATGTTATTATTAATTATTGGTTATCATAAATAAAATCTATTTTTATACATTGTGATATTATTATATGAAATACATTCCACTTAACACGATAAACGTTCTTTGGGATCTGAGAATTGAAATAGTGGGCAATTCTCAACTGTTTACTATTATTATCCCATAAATATCCCCACAGTGTGATATATATATATATATATATATATATATATATATATATATATATATATATATATATATATATATATATATATATATATATATATATACACACACTATATGGGTTATATATGTAATATAAAGGAAAATGTATTCCAACTTACTGTAATTTTATTTTCCTGATCACAGGCCATGGCAGCACAACAATGGGTAGCTCCTCCCTATCCCTAACCAGACAGGAACCTAATTAAAACAGAAGGTATAAGTAACCCCTCCTACCCCTCCCACCCTCAGTCTTTTTGTTCCTGTCCTATCCCTAGGACAGAGTTAGTCATTCTAAGACTAGAGAATTTTTTCTTTTTGGCTTACCTGAGGGTTGTTACCTTCTCCCTCAAGGGAGTTCAGCCTCTCTCCCTTGGGCAGTCTCCAGTACACGGCCCTGTGCAAAGGTGACCCCCTGGAGAGACCCCTTTAGTGACCGGGGGTTCTAACTTGCTGTGACCCTAGGGGTAGCAAGATCATGCCATCACCATGATTCCTGCAGTGACCAAGAGGTATCACATACAGGGCATATGGATTTACTTGCGGTGACCCTAGGGGTAGCAAGATTATGCCATCCTCCTGTCTCCTGCAGTGACCAAGGGGTAGCAGGCCAGACATGCACATACAGTGCACATGGATTGCAAGGGTCAATATTGACTAACATTCCATCGCTGAAGGAGTTAATGTGAGACAGACTAGCATTCCATTGCTGAAAGGGTTAAAGTACAACTTACTATCTTTTACTTTGCCATGGATTTACTTGCTGTGAACCTAGGGGTAGCAGGATTATGCAATCAGCCTATTTCCTGCAGTGACCAACGAGTAGCAGGCCGGACATGCACACGGATTGCAAAGATTCTATGAGATTAACATTTCATCACTGAAAGAGTTAATGTGAGATGGACTAGCATTCCATCACTGAAAGGCTTAAAGCACAACTCACTATCTTGCACTTTTCCATGGATTTACTTGCTGTGACCCTAAAGGTAGCAAGATTTTGTCATCAGCCTATTTCCTGCAGTGACCAAGGAGTAGCAGGCTGGGCAGGCACCTACAGAGCAAATATATGGATATAACCCCTTCTACCCTTCATCGGTTTCATCTAAACGGTAAGAGATTCCTGCTACTCTGAATTTCTATCAAACGTATTCCTAGGCTTCTGTGTCTTATTCCAAGGCCTCTGTGTCTTTTAATATATCCACTGGGTTACTTATTCCTAGGCCTCTGCTGGGCCTTTTAATATAAGCACTGGAGTCACTTATTCAGAGGCTTCTGTGTCTTTTAATGTATCCACTGGATTACTTATTCCTAGGCCTCTGCTGGGCCTTTTAATATAGCAGCTGGATTAATTTATTCCTAGGCCACTGTCGGGCCTTTTAATATAGCCACCGGAGTCACTTATTTCTAGACTTCTGTGTCTTTTAATGTATCCTCTGGATTACTTATTCCTAGGCCTCTGTTGGGGCTTTTAATATAGCAGCTGCATTAATTTATTCCTAGGCCTCTGTTGGGCCTTTTAATGTATCCACTGGATTACTTATTCCTAGGCCTCCGCTGGGCCTTTTAATATAGCAGCTGCATTAATTTATTCCTAGGCCACTGTTGGGCCTTTTAATATAGCCACTGGAGTCACTTATTTCTAGACTTCTGTGTCTTTTAATGTATCCACTGAATTACTTATCTCTAGGCCTCTGTTGGGCCTTTTAACTGGAGTCACTTACTCATAGGCTGATGTGTCTTACTCCTAAGCCTCTGTATCTTTTAATACAGCCACTGGAGTCACCTTTTCCTAGGCATTTGTTATGCCTTTTAATATAGCAGGGAGCTTTTTCCTAGGCCTCTGTTGGGCCTTTTATTTTAACCGCTGGATTTACTTATTCCTAGGCCTCTGTTAAACCTTTTATTGCAGCTGTCTCACCTGAGTGTGGTGAGATAGTTCAGTGGGCTAATACTTCATCAGAAGAATCTGTTTGTCACTTGGGGCTCACCAGTTCAATTCCCTGCAGGGCTGACTCAGTCCATAAGAAAATAAATGTGTACACTTGGAAACCAGAAAATATCTGAATGCCTCTTTCCTGGTTCAAGATTTGCAATAATTGTTTCTAGTGCCTTTTAATACAGCTGCTGGGTTCAGTTATTCTATGTGCTTTTTAATTTCATTATTATATGCCTCCATGTTGGTTTTATGTATTCACTAAATTTATTATCCTATTTCAATGTCTCTGTACTTGGTAATAGGCTATTCGCTGTTCTGTTCCTCTATCTCAGCCTTTCAACCTGTTTTATTTTAAGTCCCTAAGTTTCCATTCTTACTTTTGGGCCCATTCAGGTTTTTACCTCTGCGTTTAATCACCCGCAAATACGCAGGTGCTAGTCCAGTGGTCGCGCCATGCCATTACCGCGCATGCGCGGAAATCTGAGTCGCTCCTGCGTATTCTAAAATGTAAGCCCAGTTGCAGTGGTTGCAGGGTCATATTGGCCTCCCCTTTTCAGCACAATGTTTTCTTATAGGTTTTTCCTATATTAAGTAATTTGATTTGTGTGCAGTTTCCATCTTAATTTGAATTCTTCTTTTTGGTTTTGGTAAGTTTTTCTTTATCGAAGGTATATTACTTATTTTTCTGTATCTATCAATCTCTACTTATTTAGCAGAGATTTTTCTTTGTAAAGGATAAAAAGAAATCTTATGCAGTTATGGATTCAGATCCCTCTGCTCCCAGAAAAAAGGTCACACTCTAAGAGACATAGGTAAGCCATTCTATTTTTTCTGTCATTACTAAACAAAAGAGTGCCTATCAATAATTGGAATTCCCTATGATGATAGCTCTACGGAAAGAAAATAATCCGGATCATACAAGGGAAGTCACACTAAAGAATTGTTTGTGAGGCATATGATAAGAGATCCTTGTAAAAGTAAAGTCTCTGCACAGGCTGTCTGAAAGTGGCTACAGGCCCATCTACCCATTCCCCGTGTATTACACAATATTAACAGGAGGTATCTCAAGACGTCATAGAAGCTGTTAAAGCTTGGATCCTCTGGACAATTCCCAGAATGAATACTCTTAGGAATCCTGGGAGATGGATCCATTCAGAGATATGAAATCATCAGATGAGGATATTCAGTCTATTTCAGTAGTTCCAGAATCCGTTCATTTGATTTCCAGAGTCCTCTTACCTCTAGCCTTTCTTTTCGGATGTCAGAAGGTGTAGAGTATCTTTTCCAGTTTCCGGTCCCCTTAAGATCCTTAATGGAGTAATGGGTCTACACTGAGAGAGGTTTTGAACACAAGGGAGTATCTCAGTCTTCATCTATTGGAATTTCAGACACTAGTACCTGGGACTCTGCTCCTAAGTAGTAGATGCAGTCCTTAGACTGGCTAAATGTTCCTCTCTGCCTGTAAACAATGCGGGATCTCTCTGAAACTCCACGGAGTATACATGGTTCTGCTCCTCTCTAAAGCCTATGTGGCAGCTGGCACAGGCTTTCATCTTGCTGTAAGGTTTTACCCCAATCTCTAAGGATCTAATATTGGTATGGATAAATTGGAGGAGCATATCAGAGATAAATTTCCTTTGTCTCTTGTCAATTTACAAGTCATTAACCGGGAATAGTCTTCAGCTAAGAAGCCTACATAGGTCGCATTATATTATAGCCAGAAATATGACTTTCTTTGTGTCTTTTAGCTGGGCTCTTTTGCTTAATACCTGGTCCACGGATGCATCCTCCTATATTAATGGATCAACAGAACGGCAGAGGGCAAGAAAGCTTGTCTACTTCAAGACCTAAGGTTTGGGAGACCCTTTCGATATAAAGATTCTCACTAACTTCCTTCTCAGACCAAGGTATTTCACACCATGAAGGGAGTATGGTAGATCTCAAACTTGATGTAAGTGGTTATTATTCTACCAGATGAAGAGAAAAGGTAAAAAGATGCTTTGTAAATCTCATGGCTTCCCTTCAATTAGAGAAAGCTATTGTGAGAATGTTTTAAAAAGCAACTAGAACACAAAGAATCTGTTTCTAACAGGTGTTGGAGATCCATTCTAATTTACAGGATTCTTGTAGTTCCTATTTATAAAGGTAGTATTCCTAGTACATTGGATAATGTCTATAGATTTGCAGGATGCTTATTGCCATGTATCCTTTGCCTCACATCACTTTTATTTTTACATCTTCATGATGAAAGATGAATGTCTGCTATAGTCACCTTGTTCCCTCCCAGTTCAGGGTATAGCTGGGAATACAGTTCGACATGGTCCATGGCTCAGTACAGATCTTTTCAGACTAGCATATTACCCCAACAGAGAGAGTTTTGATCCAGGTCCTCCACCATAGATCTGATAGGATGTCACAAGGGCGGAGGTTAACTTACCTATGGAAATCCTTTGGACAGTGATAACCATGAATACCATCCACTGGCGTTGAGGAACTTTTCTCCAAATTCAAATATGTTCAAAAAAGGGACTCCCTTAACATCCAACATTTCTCTTCTGCATAGGGTGCAAGAGCCAATATCAATCATCCTGACAGTTCCATATTAATACCCAGTCCATGGTTTCCACTTCTACTTATCTTCTTCAGTACCTCCAAGGGATCTCCCAAAATAGTTCTTCCCTCTTCCATCAGGTCCAGTGCTACTTTCCTCATTCTGGAGGTTTCGATAATGTAGAAAAGCTTAAATATAAGTTGTTGTTTTTTTTTTTAACTACAGTAATTAATACCCTTCTGAGGGCCATGGGAAAACTTATATGCCTGGCTACCTTTACATAGTTGAAATGCCTTTTTTCATGGTCTATTTCTAATTCTAAGGCTCTAAATTCTTCAATCCAGGACTTATCTAGGAATTGGCCACATCACCTCAGAGATATGTCTCAGCACTCTCTGATCTCTCTTTCTGGATTTCTTCTGTTTATCTTTACTAATAGACCATAAAGATCTTCAAGCCTCTATATAAGCCTTCAACAGATGGGTAGTCTTGACTGTTTTTTAGGCTACTAAGCCCTATGGATTACAGTACTTAAAGGTATGTTTGCTCTAGAGCCATTTCTTGCTCTAGAGCTATTTCTCCCTCTTGAGCATCGGTGGCCAAGCTTCCCTGGAACTTGTAGGTAAATGGCTGCTTGATCCTCAATCAATTTTCAGACATTTTTTTTTTGGTACATTTTGAGTTGGTCATTTTGATAATGTGCCATTAGTGGGCAATCAGTTTTTCATGTCCTTATTTGCATTCATATTTTGGAAGTCTTGTGTTCTGCTTTCCCTCCCTTGGTTATTGCTTGGGTATTACCCATTGTTGTGCTGCCATGGATATGGCCAGGAAAAAGGAAAATTTATTCCTACTTACCGTAATTTTCTTTTCCTGGTCATAGGCCATGGCAGCACAAATATCCCGCCCTGGGATATTGCTGGAAACAAGACTGAGGGTGGGAGGGGTAGGAGGGGTTACTTATACCTTCTGTTTTAATTAGGTTCCTGTCTGGTTAGGGATAGGGAGGAGCTACCCATTGTTGTGCTGCCATGGCCTATGACCAGGAAAAGAAAATTACGGTAAGTAGGAATAAATTTTCCTTTATATATGTGTGTGTGTGTATATATGTGTGTGTGTATATATGTTGTGGCAAACCTAGCCACTTGGGACTGCCTAAGATAGAATGGTTGTGCCTATTTTCTGTTGTGTACTGCACGCCGGTATAGTGTGGCGTCTCCGGCTATGTTTAATTTATGCTGTACTGTGTATGTCTGTTCGAATCCTCCCCATTCGTTAGCATTGCTATTAAAACTGACTAAGTTGTATATTTTGAAGTAGAAAGGTAACGGTTTATGTCCTCGTAGTTTTCATTACTGTATGTTACAGCAGGGGCTGTTGGGAGGAGGACCTGGAAACGGTAGTCTCCCTCCAGTCCCCTCAACCAAAACCCCTGCTGCCCATCTTTGGAAACCCCTGTTGAGTGACCTGCTTTAAATATCAGTTATTTTTAATAAAGTGACAGTTGAGTGACCTGCTTTAAATATCAGTCTTTTTGAATAAAGTGGCAGTTGACTCTCAGACTGTGTTTCGTCTGGTTCTTGGGAGGATTTGGGAATATTGCCTGCTTCCAGCTTTGTACTTGGTTATTGCATTCTACCAGCAGAGATCCTGGGATTATAAAATTGCAGCTCCGCAACATATATATAATATATGTGTGTATATATATATATATATATAATATGTGTGTGTATATATATATATATATATATATATATATATATATATATATATATATATATATATATATATATATATATATATATATATATATATAACAAGCAGAAAATGGCCAGCACTCACGGTTTTAAATAGAAGTTTAAAATCCAGAACTTTATTTAAACA